AATTAATAATAAAAATATGCTATTTATTAAATTATAGCAATTTAAATTTGTATAAAATGAAGCAAGGGGAAGATAGAATGAAGAAATATAGTAAAAATAAAATAGTTTCAATCTATCTTTGTCTCATTTTGTCTAATCGTCAAACATAAATTGTTTATAACTTAAAACCTCAATAGACATTTTTACATGCAATTTTTGTTTGGTCTGTAGAATTGATTTTTTAAAGATGTTAGCATGAATATATTAATATATATTTACGCTGCTTGTTGTATAAATAAATAAACAAAATTGTAAAAAAAATAGAAATTTAAATCAATAAATCAGAAATTCATATATCTTAATTATTGATAAATTAACTTCATTTAAAAAAATATTCTTTGTATATAAAATATTATAAATGCTGCCATCTATACAAAATAATATGACTTATTTTGAGTTAACTATTTGAAAATTAGTACAGATGGCATTGATGCTAGTAAATGATTATAAGCATATTACACGCAGAAATAATCAGCTGATTGGTTATCTTTTTTGATTCATATACATAAAAATAAATTGATCGTACAATAAGCTATTATAATTTCTATAACATAAATGTTTGATATTTTATTAAAAAAAAAATTATTAACTCTAGTTTTTTTTATAACACAATTTTATAATACAAACGTTTTAAGTTAAACATTTTCAAAAAATTATGTTTTAAAAATTAAATGCAAAAACGTTAATGCAATTGGATAATAGACAAAACTTTGTGTAAGACGACATCGAAACATGTCGTCCTCACCAGAAAACATTGCTATAAAGCAGCCTATTAGGCGCTTAGAAATCCAAATTAATAATTTCAATGTGGCAATACCACATCATGTTGATTTGTTAAAACGACATAAAACTAACATTCAAAAAGTAAGTAGTAAGTGAAATCATTAGTTAAATGATAGATGTTTGCATAATGTTTTGTTCTAATAGTATCAAGCACAACATGATTGGGAAAAAATGCGTAGAGAACACATAAATGTAGCAAGAATTATAAAACAACTCAAAGAACTTTTATATCAAATGGATACTTTAAGAGCTCATGTTCTTGATTCTGATATTAATCAATTTGATAAACTAACTGCTAATGCACGTGCGAGTATTCTGAATGCAATAAAAGAATATATGGGTAAAATGAAATTATTATTTCGTATTACTTACATTACTTGAAGTTATTATATTTATTTATATTTGCTTGTAGAATTAGAATTAAATTTGCCCATGCCACCAGAATCATCCATAAATGAAAATCAAGCCAATAGTCATCCACTTGACAATACATATATCCAACTTCAAAAAGAACAACAGGACTTGCAACATCAGGAGGCATGTCTGCATGCTTGGAATACCTTGCAAGGAGATATACATCAGTTACATCAATTATTTGTTGATTTTAACAAAATTGTTGATGTAAATTATCTCATTTATTGATATTTATTATTTTTTGCTTGTATATATGATTTTCTATTTATATCATTAGAATCAAAAGGAACTAGTGAATTCAGCAGAAGATGATATAGTGGAAACAAATGTAAATGTCAAAGAAGGAGAAAAATTTCTTGAAAAAGCTGCTAAATATAAAGTTGCCATGTATCCATTAGCAGGAGCTGTAATAGGATCTTGTATTGGTGGACCAATTGGTTTATTAGCTGGATTAAAAGTTGGTGGACTAACTGCCATAGGTTGTGGTATTTTAGGTAAATTATTATTAGTGTATATTACTATAATATGAATTCATAATATTTACAATATTTTTTACAAATATAGGATTTACTGGAGCATCTATATTAAAAAAAAAAGAAATAGAAATGCAGAAATCAAAATCTCTTGTAGAACATGAATTGATTGAACAAAAACCTATACAAAGATCATCATCTCTTCCTGAAAATTTAAAGGAAACTAAGAAAGAATTATGACCCATGCCAAAATGTGATATCATTGAAAAGAATAAGAAAAAGAATGCCTGCAGTGTTGTTTAATCCCAAGGTACTGATATTAAGAATATATATAAATATGATGTTTATATACAAATTTTAACAATTAAAGGTTGTCATTTTCTAATTTTAAATAAGAAAATAATTTTATATAAACATAAGTCATGTAGAGATTTATTAAGAAATTATGGCAAAAATATGAAATGCAAAGAAAACAATTATATAATTAATTAATGAGATCAATAATACTTATCTTAAATTTCTTTATGACCTAAAATAAAACAAAGTGAAAATTTGAGAGAGTAATAATTTCTATTTTTGCTGCCAATATTATATTATAACGAATGATGGATATTTTTTGAGATAGAGAATTAATTATTTTTTATAAAAAGTAAACATCAATATTATTGATCTTATATTATATCATTATATCATATATATTATATTATATTATATATTTGTAATTATAAATCTATTATAATTTCTTTTGTATTTCATATTTTTATTATAATTAAATTTTTCTTTTTAAATTTTTTTTAATAAAACTTTAAATGACCTATGTATTTATAACATTTTTTTCTTATTTAAATCTATTAGATCTATTTAGAATATAGTGACAATGTTTAACCGTTAAATCTTAGACATCCTATATATATATATATATCTTAAACTTTTATGTTTGAAATATTAAGGAATGTTTTTTTTTATTATATATATATATTATATATAAATATAAATATATATATATGTATATACAATATTTACAATATATATATATATATTTATATAAAATATATTAAATATATTATATATATATATATTTATATATATAATATATATAATATATTTTTATATTATAAAAGAAAAATATTTAAAAATTATCAAGAATTATGGATAAATATTTCTATTAAAAGGTTTGTGATTTTTTAAAGATAATAGGTTACAAAACTTATTAAATTATACGTTTTTACTATGTGAAATAATATTATGAAATTTTCTGCTGGGATCAAATTTTATTATTAAAATATAAGAAGGTCCTTGTAAAAAATTTCTTTATATTATAAAAAATAAGTCTTTTTATACACTTCTATGACACATCTACAATTAAAAGCATGACATTTAGTATGATAAGCAAATATCTTAATATTGATATTATTTAAATGAATAAGGTTACATTATCGTAAATATTATATCAACTATGCACATGGCGATAATTAAAGTTTTTCAGAAATATGTACTTACAATAACATAAAAATACTCTGTAGTTTATGATCCGGCAAAATCGATGAAATATAGCACTCTTATTGCTATTAAACACGTCTTTCATATGCTTCTTACATATTTTGTGTTTATAAAATATGTTAAAAGTATCAAAGTTGTATACAAAAAACTGAAAGCCTATTGTTGTTTGTAAAGAATGTTTGCAAATAAAATATTTATATCACGAATATATAATGAATACCTTAACCGAGTTTAAGCGATAAAAATTTTACTTCAATACGGGAACATTTCGATTTACCGCGCATCGATTTATGATTTGAACTACTACCTGAATATCGATCAATATATTCGATATAATATGATGCGAATTTCACACATATGTACCAGTGATTAAACTTTATACGTAATTTTTGAAGTAAACACACTATGAAATAAGCAGTTATGCATACTTATATGTCATTTGAAAACAAGGTATGGAACAAAATAGATAAAAAATTAAAGATTTTATCTTCGCTACAAAAGGCACCCAATACAGTATATTTAGCAAGTAATAAAATACATCAGTGTTAGACACAGTACAATACTGAAATAATCATATTATTAATGTAAATATATAATATATACATTTCGTTATAATGATGCGAATAAATCTATAGATTAAAATAATCTATTTAAAAAAATATTAATAAATATCTACGAGCGTGTACACACAATTAAGTGACTATTTGTGTATCTTAAGGTACCGTGTTATTCCTTACTATCATTATTAAATTCGACATCCCTAATTTAAAAGCAACAACAAACAAAAACTATATAAAATAGAATATTTACTTTTGTTTCGTTTAGTCTCACTTTCACAAGAGCGGGATGCTCAGTCAGATGCACCGAGTTTGTATGGCATGCTTGCAATTTTCTATTCGATTTCGATCTATCGAACGATAGTGTCGATTCTCGAAAAATGTGATCACGATATATAATACAACTAAAATACGATTTGTAAATAAAAAAAAACGATAAAGGGATGCATCAGACTGTGCCAGGACATATTTATATATATATTTTTTTTTCGTTAACTAACTATATAATCTACAACTACATTTTCTAAATACCTTAAATTTTTCGATCAACCCCAAAATACGAACTAAACGGAATTTGGTCATTATCCATAAGATATCATTCAAATATCTTGGCAGACCTTGGCAATAACAATGGCTTGATCTCGACTGACTTGTTTAAGCAGTAACAATACAGAATTATATAACGGGATAATTACTGATTGCTACATGCGCTAACGTGATTTTGCTTTCTTCGGTCGCTAGCTCACTAAGCGCATGACTAATGATCGAAACCGATACAGGCGATTGTGTATTCATGATTGAATTTTTTAATTTAGAACAGGACGCAAAGCTTTTTATCGCATATGTAATTGAATTATGTACGAAAATTGCGATATATATTATGATGATATATTTCAATTTTATGCCAAAAATATCAGTCAACGAACCATAATCGAACCTGCACAGTTAAAACTATAAGTTTCTCGAACAAAAAGAAACTAACGTGAAAAACGTTATTTTGTGTGGACGCAACTTAATAGTTTAAGCTAAACTTTTTAAAACGACCACACAACAATTATGAAAGAAATATTATTTAAATGTAGCTTGCTTCTCTTTTTTCTAAATAAAGAAAAAGAAAAAGAGATAAAAAGAAAGAGAAAAAGAAAGAAAAAGACAGAGGATAGAATTTGGCTTTCGTGTACAGGCCAGAGTTAGGTTTACATCTACAGGTGATAAAAGGTTTTACAAATGACTGACATAAAAAGAATATAATATTATATATATTTAATATATAATCTGGAAATAATATATATTTAGACTATCGGTTATATTACTTGTGGCTATATCGTATAAACCTTTAATATTACATTATATTACAAAGTGGTATGTATGTGTGCGCATTGTTTTGACATTCCTGAAAGGATGTGTTCTGTCGGACGCGCATTTTGTTGAAAACGCATTCGACAAGAAGACGAACAATGATTTTGATATTAATGGAATTCCTGAAGAGAATGATAATATGAAATAAAAATCGATCTTCAGGTTTTATATATATAAAAAAAAAAAAAAATCTTTGTATACTCGACTATGACGTAATTTAACGATTACGTCTTTAATTCATAATAGTAAGCGCGAACACAATGTGGACATGGAATATCAATATTTATTCACTAAACATATAAATAAAGTATAAAAGTACCATACATAAATTGGTCGGTAATTCGAGATAATATTCTCAATCACTGATTAATCAGGAATGCCAATGTTTATGAGAATAATGGCAACCAGTGCATACTGTTTGCGATACTGCAGCACATTGTGAAACATGCAGCTATACACATATAGATTCTGTCGGAACACATTTTTATTTATGATCTTTCTCTTGAGCACGTTGGTGGATTTGAGGAGATAGTATAAGAAAATACACGTCGCCGTTACTTCTGAAAAATCAATGGTTTATAAAATTCAGACGTGATAACTATATATCCGATCGCTTATAGATCAATGAAATTCGAAGCGTATCAAAAGATAAATTCACTTGAAAGTTGAGCTTTCTGTCTGGGACACAAAGGTATATTGTGAATGTGTGTGAATATGTATGTATGAGCATATATATATATACGCATGAGTGTTCCTCTTTACAAACTTTGTAACACGGAGAATCCGTTTTAAATCTTTTGCAAGAGGCGCTTGTTACGGAACTCACGTGATAAGCGTAATACAGTAATCTAATTGGACTGTGTGTTTACACCATTTTACACATCACTCATAGCTCATAGTCATTCATCGAACTATGATTGCCCAAGAAAAATACGCGCTCTAATACTCTCTATTCAGTTATACGAATACGTAGACGTTGCCACTTTCCATTGGAAAACTGTATGCAATTCGGGTGAATCACACTGCATTCACTATAAAACAACTTGCAAGTGAATCGACAACATGTATATATATATATATATATATATATATATATACTCTTCTATATCAAAGTCACGCCATCTTTTTCAGAGGGTGACACTTATAAATTAATAGACATGTCTTGATCATATGGAGTAAGATTCGTGTCGGACGAAGAAGCCGAGGTAACTGTTGCTGTCGCGGTTGCGCTGGTCGGTGATTGAAGAGGTGTCGATGTCGTTGGCAAATGGTAGGTGGGACTTTCTAGAGTAGAGTTCCAATGACTTCTTTCAGTTCCATCGCCACCATCATCCGAGACGATCGAAATATCAGCTATTATGCCACTCTCTGTAATTACATCAATATATTTGTAAAGATATAAATACTTATAATCGTCTGACTTAAAAAAAAAAAAAAAGAAGAATTATGATACATACCAACACTACATTGGCTATTGAGGGTAGTACTGCGATGATGAGGTCGAGGACTTGTATCCAAACCAAGATTCAGTGTCGTTGGAGGGCCGCTACTTCCGCCGCTACTCGACGATGAACTCACGGAAATAACACTGTGCGGCCTTCTGCTACAGCGTCCCGAATCCTCTGACATTGATACTGCTATCGAGTTTCTAAATCTAGGTGCTATTTAATAACAAAGAATTAAATTAATCGTTTTGCAAGCTCATCAATTGACTTAAACTCATATAAAATCATTTAATATAAAGCTTATTTTGTTTAAAATACTTGTAATGGATTGCAAACTTACTTTTCGAGAGTTGAGCTACACTAATAGAACGATCATTAATTTGATCCGCGCTAGGCCTAATGTCCAAACAAGGTTTATTTCCGATGCCCATGCTCGACATTTCCGCCAGGCGCACTTCTGTCATCATAAAACGTGTGTTCTCATTAAATTGAGCCGCGCAAGAAACTATGTTTCAAAATATACCTCTGTTTCGCAGCGCCTGCTTCCATAAAAGGTTGCTCAGTTCCTCCGTCCAGGCTTTCTTAATCTCTTCGCTTGCACACTGCAATGTGTAAGTATCGCCTGGTTTCCTCTTGCGGAACCAAATCTCGAACTTCGTAGGTGAGTCCGCGATCACGGCTGTTAACCCGATGTCCGTTGTTTTGATACTATGCTTATAGATGTAGATATCGAGGTTCTGAAACGATCGATCAATTAGCATGCATGCAGTGTATATCTAAAATAAATATACGCAACTACTATAAATTAATATTATTTAATAATTACTATAAAGACTGCCTCACCTTTCTGTCGGGGAATCTTCTCGCTTTGCTGAATAGAATAAGGTCTTCGAACAGGAAAACTTGTCGTAGGCACTTTTTGCCTTTACCCTGCCATACTAAGAACTCGTTTTGACGAAGCAGTCTTCCTTGTTCCTTCACGTTCACCTACAAATTACGTAAACATTACCGTCTATAATGTCGCGAGCCTCCGACAAAGAACGCATTACATACACTCTCCATTGCCATTGTTGAAACGATTGTCTCTTCTACTACATCATTATTAGTTAGTTACATTACCGTGTGACTACGTATTATATTTTATTATAAAATGCATGGACGTACATCGCAATCTCGCAGTGAATCCATCGCCAACAGGTCGTTTCCGTGACGTAACTGGAATCGTACCATCTGTTCGGCTGCCCTCAATTCTGCTTCTCCCTCGACTATTGGCTTCATACCGTCGTCCTTTTCGTCCTTGTCGTCTTTGCCGGACATTTGTTCCGAGAGATCAGTGCCCGCTTTGACCAGCTGTTGCAATAGCAGTGCGTACTTTCCCATTCGTTGAACTGGCTTCAATAGATAACTAGCGAGGTCCATCTTGTCACCAAGCTCGAGCTGCTTTTGCTTAAAGAACGCAGTGCCGTACTCGGCCATCAGGGAATCTGAATTTGGTTTGTTCTTGTTGTATAGCGCATAAAGATAGAATTTCTTCTCCTGTAACATAAATAAGTATCAAATGTAATGATTAATGCTGTTAAAAATTTTTAACACTAAACATTGAGTATTTTCTATACTAAGATTACTAAGAGAGTTATTATTAGAGATTACAATCATTCACTTGACACATTATGAAACTTATTGATATGTTTATTTTGATTCTTTCTTTTTCGTTTATTATGTTTGGAAAAATATGAAAAGAATTCAGAATTATAACTCAAAATTTTTTAATTTCACTATTCTATAAATTTATCTATTATTTATTGATATTTCTAAAATTAATTGTACAGGTAAAGAAGAAAGAAAAAAGATACTCACGTGTCTAAGGAAACATTGTCCCACATTCATTGGCGACTGCTCGCATTGTTCCAATTCCCGTAAGAAATGCTGACCATGGAACTCGTATATCTTCTCGACATTGCCGAAGATCACGTTGCGCTGTCCCCTGAGCGCCTGAGGAATGTCCTCTCTCACCAGCTCCGGAATATAATTCTTCGGTGACAAAAACAAGTTACGGTAAGATTAAATGCAACTCGAACGTGTTAGAATATACGAGGTGAAACAGTTACCTCTATTATGTATTCGAGGGACTTCACGTAGTCTCGTTCGGTCTGTATCATTTCTCTCATTATGAGCAGTATTGTTCTGCAAGGTGAAATTCCTCGTTAACCACAGTGCCGTGCACGTAACAATTCCGCATAATCGCACGATAGAATTATGGTATAGATAAGCATTGTTAGCATGGCTAAACTGGGGAGGAACACGGAAGAAGAATCGTACGAAAACGTAACGCGAGATCTCTCACGTACAAACGGGGCGAATATACTTGTACGTATTCTTGGTGAAAATTTTTAAACAGGAATGTTAATCAGACTGGCAACAATAACTATGCTCATCCATTAATTGTACATTATACATGCACGTATAAACTTGTTACGACAGTAAACAGTAAACTGGAGTGGAAAAAAAATACTAGTTTAAAACAACGTAATTATACATACTTTTTCGCCTTCATTCCAGGAGCGATGCTGGCAGCTCTGTGAAGGTGTGAGTTCACCGGTGGCTTCACCAACCGTCTAGGAGCAGGACTTCGGGGTGGCGTTCGTGGTGGAGAGCAATCGAGCAGCTGTTCGGCGCTCTCTCGAAGCTCTGCAATGTTGTCCAGTACAGGACGACCGCCGCTTCCTGTCGATCCTACGCTCTCCATGGGACAAGCGTACGATGCATTACTGTCGCTGTCATCCCATGAAGTTCCTGGAATAATTGTTGCGCGTTACAGAGAATATAACTGAATGATAACTGAATACGAATCTTGAAAATATTTTTCAATTTCGAACAAACCTTTTTTTTTTGGTCTTTGTCTTGAAATAATTTTTCATTATCTTATTTTGAATGTTAATAAACGAAACGAGGTTACATAAATTATACATGAGCATATACATATTAATAAATGTTTATCAGTTTTACATAATTATAATAGATCATTTCAGTATTATAAAAGTATTCTTCTATTCATTTTTAATATATAGAATATAATGGCAGTAATAAAAATGAAAGATGGTAAAAACAAGGAGATTTACGTACTCTTGGTCAAACTGTCTTCCCAAGAGGTGGCAGACTCCGAGGAGGATCTTCTTCTGGCGGGGCTGCCAGGTGCTGAGGTGGTCCTCGCCATCTCGAGCGCTTCCGCACACTTGTTCCTGGCGATGCGGCATTGTTCCAGAAGGATTTCGTTACCGAGCTTCTCGGCGAGTGCCATCATTTCTGTGAAATGCTCGGGCGGCAAGGGTGGTCTGGCCATCAGGAACTGCTGGGCCCCTCGTTCGCCGGCAAGGCGTGCCTCCTGGGCCCACTCGTACGCCCGATCTTGAAGCAGGCAACATCTCGACGTGTCTTCGAGGTACTCGCGCCTGTCCTCTAACCGGGAACCGAATCCTCGAAGGTGATGCTTCAAGGATCTTGCGAGTTCGCGAAGTCCGCTCGCACTCGCCGCCTCGGCAAGGTCGCTTCCTTTGTCAAGATGTCTCTGGAACGAACAATTATCCTTCGATTATTTTTCATTACCATTATAATTGAATTATATCGATGATTTTTATTTTCGGAAAAATTATTACTAAATGTTCAAAAATATATAAAATATTCGAAAGAAAATATATATATTTAAAAGGTGAAACAGATACTTATTTCGAAATTTCTGTAATTGTATTTACACAAATTTCAATATATATAAATATACCAAATGATTATTTTCGATCTAATTGATCGGTGTAAACTACTATTTAATAATTCTCAATTATCAGTGATATTTAATCTTAATTTTACAACATTTTTAATACTACAAAACTACCTAAAAAGATTTATATTTTATTTAATATATAATATAATAAATAACTATACTTTTGACTAAATGTAAACCAGTTCAATTTTTAAATAATTGCAAGAACAAAAAGATTAAAATTAATCAAGTTAATCGATTAATACTAGTTTTAAATACTTTAATGTTTATTCTCCTTTTTGCTCATTTCATAATAACTGAAGATATCGAGATTGTGCTATAATAAAAGATACACACTGTATCACCATACAGTCTCGGAAGATTGATTACTACAGAACAAACAGACACGCCAGACGAGCATGAGATCCACGTTATTCATGGATTTATTGTTTCTTCTCGGATGCGGTTCCCCCAGAACAATGTTTGTTCAGATTTGCCATGAATACAATATTGTGTGTAAACACACGAAAGTATTTCATCGGTCTGGGCGTAACAAAAGAGAACAATAAAGACCCCGCTCCTTCGGTGGAAACGATATCCTGTTCTGGGCGAATCGAACTGGAAACTCCCGCGGTGCACTAGGGAACCGTGTCTAATGGCGAGACCATAAATCGACATATGGGGAAAGGAACGCGGTGATGAGCGAGGGAGGAGTTCGTCCTCCTCCCTACAGGACGACATTGTCTATTTGTGCATGGAGACTGTTTACACAAAATCTACGGGGTGTTATCTATGAGCCTACCATTGGTTTGTATACCATTGTAAGAGTGATACACATTTTGACTTGAAATTTATCAATCGCAAAAGTACACTCAATGAGTTTAATACAATAAGTTATAACAATAATTTTGTATATGAAACATTATGAATATAAAGCATAATTTTTTTAGTAGGGGAATATCACTTTGAAGAGATAAAATCAATCTTTAAAATTTATCTAATTTCAAAATTGAATGCTCTATTATCATATTAAAAAATATTCTTAGATAGAATTAAATTCATAAGATTAAAAAAAAAATTATATTTGAAAACTGATAATAAATTTTAATTGAAAAAATTTCTATGCATATAATTTATTCTACGTTCTACATATAAACATTTATTAAAATCAAAATTTTTTAGGAAAGTGAATTTCATTGTAAAATAATATATGAAGAGTTTGATTAATTTTTTGTATTACACTAATATAATATAATACAATAGTTATTATTTGAAAAATGATATAAAATTCAAAGATTCTCTTATTTTAAAAATCTAATATATAATCCAGACAAAACATTTGTCACAATATCAATTTTTAATTTCGATATCAAAAAAAAAAAAAACTCAATTTTTTCACAATAAAATAAAACTTTTGATTCGAGCGATGGGTTTTCAATATATTTTGTTGTGACATTATCCTTTTTTCCCAGATAATACGTAGCAACGATCGTGAAAGCATGAAATCCCATTGGACATGGATCAGTAACAAGATCCTGGAACAAGGACGATCTCGATGGAGTAGCCGTGACGAAAGCGCATCACGTACATTAGAGCGTGTGATCCGTCCATAAATTAGATACATGCAACTGCCTATGGTACAAATTTACGCCTTCGACCATGTCGATCTAATAATACGTGCTCCTTTAAATCCATTGAACCGTAACTTTCCTGATGTATCGAATGGATGCTCATCCACGAGACCAGCTATTTGGATCAGCCGACGAAACACAATCACGAGTCTTGATCAGGGCGATTTCCGGGGAAAAAAAAGGTTTCAAAGGTTTGAAGGGATAGCAGAAGGTATTTAGAAAATTGAATTCGAGAAATCGTTCCATTCCCAGAAATACGCTTGATCAAAGTTTCTACGTTTCGTGCTTCACGGTCGACTGAGAGCGTCATTGCCGCAGGATCTCGAAGCTCGAAGGGTAGGAAAATACCTCGCCTTTCTGTGTTTGCCCTTACTACTCGGACACGTGGCTCCCTTAGGGCCTCGAGCCATCGCAAATGCTTCTCTTTGCTTTTGGAACGAAGAATTGCGACACGTGCAGCGGTGCACGTTAACGATGTGTGTCGAGGATATCGTTGAAGTTTGATCCTAACGAGCATTGCTAACTAACGCCATCATGGAATTAATCGTTTCAACGGTATCGATATCGCTGAAATTTTAGTATCAAGTATATAATAGAACTGGAAAAAATGTGTAAATCGTTACGTGTCGGTAAAAGTAAGATCGCGTGTCAGACTGGTCGGTAAGACTTCTTGTAAAATTTGAAAAAATTACGAGTGGATTGCGGTTATTATGTTTGCCAAGTAATCGAAATTATAAGTCAATTATGTAACACGTTAATGGATATTATTTTACCAATTCATTTTGATGTAAATAGTTAAAAATTTGATGATGTTACAATATTGCATTATTGAAAATTAAATAAAATTGAATTTTCCTAGAGTTATTCTTGGCATTTAGACCATTATTTTTTACGTATATTTTTGATGATATTACAATATTGCATTATTGAAAATTAAATTTGAATTTTCCTAGAATTATTCTTGGCATTTTGATCATTATTTTTTACGTACATTTTTTGAAGAATTTTGTTGAAAGCGATAAATATTATTAAACAAAATTGTTAATTTCATACTTTTCGATAATATAATGTTATAAATTATTATAGAAAATTCTTATTATAAAGTACAATGTCGTAATCAGCACGTCAATCTTTTACACGGTAATTTCATGTTTACGTATTCAGATCCAATTTATTCACACATTCAAATATGTTTTTCCGCTTTTCCCCTTTACTTCGTGTAAAAATTTTTCTACAATTAAATTAATTTAAAAATACTTAAAAATAATTAAATTAATTTAAAAATTAATTTTCTATAATTAAATTAATTTAAAAATAATTAAAATAATTATCTCCCCACGACGAAAATGTAATATTTTATTAAACCGATCAATTTAAAAAACATACTTAACGCCAATATCTCGATCGAGACACTAGTAATGAAAATGAATGGCGCCAATACCATTGCACGTAACTAGAATGCTTGACGAAGTTTCAATCAGGATATTGAACTTTTTGTATAGCATGTCGCTCGAATGGCTGGCACGATGCGTGAAATATCGCCAAGGGAAACTGACGAGGCGTCTCTTCATCGCGTTTAATCAACGAGATCATTCCTATGCGGGGCGCGTTCCCTCGTGATCCACAGTCCACGATCCTCTCGAACGGAAATCTCGAAATTCGGGTGGATCGGTCGACTCGAATTCGAGTGGAAATTCGCCCGCATCCTTATGAAATCGAATGGCCCGCATTCGATAGTACGAAAGCGTACGAGAGAAAAAAAGGCGATCGAGGTAGCTATCGCGTCCCCGTTAGAGAAATTCGCGTTACTTTGACGCAAGAAACGCCGCGAAAGTATGCGCGCGCACACCATATTTTGCTATATATTTCCATATTTATAAGCGCGTTACGAGCGCCTAGCATGCACGCTTCGTTCGCGGCTATGTTTAATTAATTTACTAGAGACACGATAACCTGTTGGTCGAATTCTTTCATTGACCATAACATGAAAGTTTTTGTAACGAGTCGTTTGATAATGTATATTTTTTTCTAATTCTGATTATTTCAGAAAGAATAAGTTAGTAGGTCAAAAATACATCGAATTAAGGTAAAAACTTATTCTTTACCTCTTATCTGGATCAGTTGTTTGAATATGAACGAAATAACTTGATTTTTATTTTGATTTTTATTACGGTATACAATATAGTATAATAGATATAATGGAAATTAATCGATCTGTTTAAATCTTAAATATTGTTAGTTTAATATTTAATAATAAATTAATATTCTTATAACATTCATTTTTGTTTCTTGAGAATAAAATTGTAACGCCATGATTATAAAAAAATTGAAATCATTTATATTTTGTTCTTAATTATATCATTTTATACATCAAAACAATGTTAACAATCTCAATGAAAAAAATTTAATTACGAATTACCTGCTTTTAATTCCTCATAATATTATTATATGAATATTTTGAAAGGCAAACTTTTATAATTATACGAAAAAAGAAATTCGAAAAATTATATTTTTATAATTTGACTTGATAATTTATTTTATCGATATTATGATGAAATATAAAGTAATTATGTATATTCGACATATTTAGAAGATATATTTCGATTTTATAAATCAAAATAAACACAAAAATTAATCTCACTTCATCTAACGCGGATTTAGAATTTAAACATTTTTCCAAGAAGTGTTTTTTTTTTTTTTTTTTAATAAATATTCTTATACAATATGGACTCGTCGATCAAGTTATAATTGAAAAGTAATTCGAAATTACTTGTACCTCGAGTACGATTTCACAACTCGTGACACGCATAGTTAACTTTCTCGTTTTCCGGTCTTTTTTCCCACAGTAAGAATCATAATCAAATATTACAATTATTCACGGTTCTTGTTCGCATTTGCCGGAAAGTTAACCGACAGTTAAACAAACACACGCATCGATTTATATAATCGACCCAGACTATCATTTGGACGCATATTTGAAACGTTTCGATACACGCGACCTGCAATTACGATTCATCGATCGTCATCAGTGGATCGTGACGTGACAAGTATCCAAGCGTTGGTGTTGCGTAACGAGCTAGTGGACGCAACAGGAAAATCTCAGTGAACACCGACCAGGTCGCGACTGGTTATTATGGCGGAATGTAGAAAGGCGCCTCGTCGTGCATAATTGTTGGAGCG